CTGGCATGGCTCTAACTTACTTAGATTTGTACTTTATTTCATATTCATTAAGTGCTAAGCAAATGTTCTTGTGAACTAAAATTCAGCCTAATATTTAAGCTTACTGAAAATGTTTTATTCTACCTATAGTCATAATAACTTTATCAACTGAAGAACAATTTTTGTTAAATGGCCCAACAAGAGCCCATCAATTTTTGCCACATTGTCCAGCCACTCCGTAAAGCTCTCCATTTTCAAAAAAGTATAGGCACTGCATTGCAATCAATACTGAGCGATCCTACAACTTTTGCTTTTGTATTGCCTCTCTGCACTCTCTAATGACTCTCATATTATCATCATCATGCTCTCAGGAAGTTTAAATGTCAGGGCTAATTAATTAAGATGGTTTGTCTTGTCATTAATTGCTTAAGTACTGAGAACCCATTCCCCTTTAATCAGAAGCAGCTGTGACCAACATGGCACAAGAGACAGAAAAACAACATTTTACTCTGAGGCACTTCCTATGACTACGTTTCTGAAACAATAATTAAAGTAACTGTTGCTGTGATTCCAGTAATAATGTTAAAATGTGTCATTACAATTTCACTTCCCGAAACTCCATCCTCATGATTTGTGAATGTATCTCTGACAGCCGAACATGCACAATGTTGCTCCAGAAATTGCTGCCTTCCGCATCTGAAGATACTTTCCAAATCTTTACTTTTGCAATAGGCTCCACCTAGATGCTCAGAATGCACTGAACCCTTGCCTTTTAACTACAACAGCATTGTTACTCTCTCTCTCTCTTTTTTTTTAATGAATTGTCTCTTTTGTAAGATCTTTGTTTTGCTTTCTAATGCATACATCAAATAAAGTAGCCTATTTTCCATAAGGAGATAATTCAGTAGCACTTATTTTGTAAAAGGAAATAGCAGAGGAAAAAAATAAAGCATTTGCTATTTGCATACCAGTTCATTTTTTATTTATTTTTTTTTTTAAATTTAAATACATTGGGATTGTTTATAAAATAACCACCTAAAAACCAGGGTTGTCTAAACTACAGTCATACTATTGAAATAGTTTTGATCATTGAATTGACCGGTTCTAAGCTTGCCATTTACTGCAAATATCCATCCTGGACTAGAACCTGCGCATTGGTTTTCAGCCTGTAGAAACCTGCTGTGGGTAGTGATGAGCACTTTTCTTTATGTTAACCAAGGTCTAGAGGGTCACCAGCTCCACAGCTGGAGCATTTTTTACATGCCTGACTTCCCAAGCACTGGGCTACAGCTGATTTTCTGAATCCTCCCTAAATGCCCAAATTAATTTTTGCAATCTTTGGACAACTTCCTCCACAGGGATTTACCTCCTGAGGTAGGAGTACACCAGCTCCCGTGCATATGAGTTCCAGCTGGAGAGATGCTGGCTCGGCTCCATGTGAAGTCCATTCTGCACGGCTGAAGAGCGAGACAAACAGTGCTTTGCTAGTGAGAGCAGGACAGAGCCTGAAATGACTCCTTAAGACAATTCCTGATACAGCCAATTAACACCTTTTAGTTCCATCTCCCTGACAAACACAGTGTTCAATACGTGTTTTACTGGATCTATTATAAATGGACTGAAATCACAGAATACTTGGGGAAAAAAAATAAAAATACATTTTGATGAAGTACCTTCCTTTTTTTCCCCACAGGCATTCCAGTTAATAAAAAGAACTATTTGCAAGTGTAATTCACATCTGCTGCATAGTTATGACAAACAGAACATGATGTGTTAAAAGTATGTGTTGCTTTATGTTCGATTTACCACTCACACCTTGAAATGAGCTACCAGCAGGTTTACAGCCCATCCCCTACCCATGGGGAAACAAATGCTTCCAAATGCTTCCAAGACAAATACTTCTCCTTTAAATTTGAATTATCATGGGGTGCTTTTCCTTACCTTCTGCAACAGCTGTGGAAAGGAGTGCCTCATTCAATACAGAAAACCAGGCTACTGTATATTTTTACTTCTGTTGTCTCCATAACAATTCTATTTGAAACAACGGCAACAGAGGTAAACAGCCTTTGCAAGTAGTGTTTATCAAGTAAACTTATTTGCTGTTCGTTTTACTCATTCATCAGGAAATTTAAAATTTCCAGTTACTTATTTTTAGGTAATAAAATGTATTGTTTCCAGTAGACTAACACAGTTATTTCTCATCATCATTTGCAGTGTCATTGCTGTAGTACCCTTCGCATATGTGATGCTTTGCAGGCATAAAGATGACTTGGTTCTTGCTCCCAGCAGACAACAGTTCATGGTCCTGAGGCTGGAATATGCAACTGGTTCGCAGAGCTGTGCTCCTGCAGAGCCTCCCTGAATTTAAGACAAATTCTGTTCAGGAGATGCAATCTCTCCAGCTTGAATTTGTAACAATACATAAAAAATTATTCTGCTGGAGAGGGAAGAAGAAGAAGAAAGGAAACTACTATGTTTATTTCAGCTGCTCTGCTTTTCTGGTTATTCACTTGCGAAACTGTATGAGCTCTCTTCCACCAGCTTGTTTTTCCTCTTCAGCTGTGTCTGAAAAACAGCAGAAGTTAGAGAAAATTACATCAGGACAAGGACATGGCTCCCTGTATCTCCTTGTAAGTAAAATAATTCCCATTTCCTCTCTCACCTTCCCAGTAGCCAAGAGGCAACTTCAGAGATATTGCCACTGTCCTTGAGACACTGAACCAAGGATGCACTTGTTTCCTATGTAAAAAAGAGATTTCGTTTGTAATCTCGGAAGGAGGAGAGGGTTTTTACATATTTTCAGTATAATCAAATGAATTTGTCTGTTTGTCTTGTGATTTTTATTTATTTATTTTAAAATTCCTAACCACTAAAAAGCATGCAGCAGCATCCTTCTTCTGACTGGCATGTTTTATCCAGAATGGCAGTAAAATGTCACTTCTTATGCAGAGCTTGAAACTGCTGCCCAGAGCAAAGGCCTTCACCCACCAATCCGTGAGTCTCTCACCATCATGTTACTTCCGTGGCTTGAAAATCAACTACTTGGAAGAGCTTTTGTAAAACCTGCAAAAATATACAGCATTGTTTTATTTACAAAGTCTGGCTGTGTTGCAATCCAACAGGAAGGTAAGCATTTTAGAGATACAACCCTCACACATAGCCATGCTCCTGTCACAGCACTTAGTATTTTTGTCTCCATCATTACAACTCCACTCATTGGGACAATTTCCACTCATTTGGAAGTTGATCATGCTTTGAGCAGGCAGCTGGATCAGATGACCTGCAGAAGTTTCAACCTAAATAAGTCTATATTTCTATAATTTATAACCCTTTGAAATGTTTTGCAAGTATTCTTTTTATTAAAAGGAACAGGACATCAGAAAACTCAAACAAGTTTACACTAAGCAGTTGCTGGAGTTATGATACATATTTCTCCTTTGGTCTGCATTATATTGCACGGGGAATGTTTTGTATTTTTCTAATATATGCAATTTTCTTTTTTTCTACTGTATTTTTGTTCATGGTGTAATCTGTTCAGTTGTTAGTATTTGACAATCAGCAACTAAAAAACGTGGTATAATTTTGAATATACATTGATGTTTCAGTTGCCGAATCCCAATTGTATCCCCGTAGATTCGCAACTTCTCCAACCTATCGCTTTGGTTTATCAAACCAGTGATTTTAAAAGCTGTTCCAACGAACACTTGTGCTTCAGTTACAACAGCTGGAGGAGGATTGCCTACTTTCTACATACAAATACTTTCATAACATCAAATCAGATTTAGATGATAAACTAAAACTACATCAACTCCAACAGAAGCCAATCTGCTCTCTTCTGCGTGTGTACGGCATACAGATATTTTACATCTATTTACACAAATCGTAAGTATGTGTGACCTTTTTAATAATGCAAAACTGACCAAACCACAAGACATTGATGTAGTATTAAACACTGGATTTCAATTCACAGAAGCAAGACTGCTGACACTGCAGGTCAAACGTTCCAATCGTTTATTTGCACATTTTGATATTGCACGAGCTTTTGAGAAGGGAATAAATGGGTTATATAAATCAGACGCAGGCTGATTCAAAGATGCTTTGTCAGGATAAATTTTAGAATTAAAATGGAGTAGCAGAAAACAGAGCAAAACGAGACTCTGACACCTCTGCCTGCTTGAGAGGTCATGCCAAACTTCTATTATTGTATGTATTGGGGTACTGTGCATTTGATACATGGAATAGTATCTATTTTCTGTTATGTTTAGTTAAAATATACTATTTGTTGTGTAACAAATTTCAAGAATTGTCAAAACACAGAAAGACAGCTACCATCTATGTATCAAACAGAACTGCTACAAGTGCCTCGTATAAAGGCTTCCCACTGCCTCTCGTTATGAGGCTGTGTTTTACTGTATTTGCAGCTACCCTGTTTTGAGGTTTTAACTGAATTCCCTACATCAAGTGTAATTTGCACCTCACATGCTGCTGTGTGGAAAGGCTAATCCAGAGCAGCTCAATCATTCCATGGATAAGACTAAGGAAAAGTATAGACTTCAGTGTAATAGAGTTACCTAAAGAAGAAAAAGTGAAGGTTGGAAAGGCAACATTAAATTGAAATATTTGGAAAACAAAGAAAAACCTTGAAGTCATTATTACAATTGTAGAGTCAAGCAGTCAGGTTGGGAAATGCCAGAATTAGAGGCAAATACCTCCCAATAGGCACAGAAGAGTGTGTGTACTATTTCACGTGAGACTCTCACAACAAACATGGTAGGTAACAGCAACGTGGTTTTGGAAATAGAGTTTCAAAATCTCCCACTGAAAAGATACAAGCTTCTAATAAATTTATGGAAGTGAAACTTGGGGTACTCTGCACTGAATAAGTCTCCAGAAATTTCAGACTAGTCAGCCATTTAATACTAAATTTCCAATGGCAAGAGTCAAAGTAAAAATAAAGCAAATACACATAAAAAAAACAAAAACCCAAAACCAAAACAAGTTTTTTTTTTCAAATTTATTTTTTATTTAGAAGTAAAACAAAATGTGACATTTCCATCTAGAATCCAATGACATATGCTGTGGTAAATTCAAACATGGAGAGGTGGTTTTAGCTTTCAGATTCCTCACAAATTCAACTTCTTCCTCTTGCACTGGAGCTTTGTACAAGCTCCGACAGGTCTGAGGACACATCTGTTTAAGGCAGTCGCTGGAGTTCAAGCTTATCAGCAGATGATGCTTCAAAGACGTCATCTTCAACACTTTCCTCTATTGGCTTCATTTTTGCCGAAGTTCTCAGGTAGGGAGACGTCCGGCCCGGGCCTGCCACAGTTAAGAAAGAAATTATCAATTAATTGAACAACACAGGCCTGCTACATACACCTCTTTGTGACAAAGTGTACACAATCTGACAATCCTGTCCTAGTTCCTCATAAGAGGGTTTTATAAGTGAAGGGTTCTTTGTTATTTGGCCACAGGCATCAGGAAATCCTAGACGTGGGACAGCCACATCACTATGAACCAGCAACGCCTCCGAGGTTGTCTCACCATTACACTCACCCATTAGTTGTTCTCCACAAACGATGATAGGAATGGTTAAATAGAGAAGGTATGTACATTGCACAATTGCCTCAGCTGTGAAAAAATTCCTGGGTGTACTGAGCAAATCTCAGGCGGGTACCTGATCACAGACCTAACTGCCCTAAAAGCACGATAATGTAAAACTTATGGAAAATATAATTCCCCCATAAATACCCATAGAGAAAACAAGATTAATGGATGAAGGCCACATAACTTTTGACTGACAGTGATTTCATTGCTCTAAGACAATGTTTTAGAAAAGCAGCAACTCATTGTCCTGGTTTTGCTAGGATAGAGTTAATTTTCTTTTTAGTAGTTAGAAGAGCTGTGGTTTAGTTTCAGTGTAAGAACTTGTTATGAGAGGAATGTTGATAAAAGTACTAATGTTAGTTGCTGCTGGAGCTCAAGGCCACCATGTTTGGCTGGTTCACAGCTGCATCAGGACTGGGAGGGAGAAGTGTAGTGAATAGCAAAGCCCTAAACTGGCATTTGGATGTGCCAATGGGATATTCCATATCATATCACGTCATGTCAGTATATTAACCAGGGTTGACCAGAAAATGGGGGCATTCTCTCAGGGATCGCTCGGGCTCGCTCTTCCAGGGCTTGGGTTTTGGGACGGTCTCTGCTCCGGGATCACTGGCTGGGACAGGCTGGGCATTGGTCAGCGGGTGGTGAGCAACTACACTGTGTATCACTCATTTGTATATTCTGTTATCACTGTTGTTATCATTATCATTTTTGTTTAATTAGTAAATAGTTTTTATCTCAACTGTGAGTTTCCTTGCTCTTTTCCTTCCAATTCTCTCCCCTACTCCCTGGGTGAGGGGGGGCGGGGAGGGTGATAGAGCAGTCTGTGTTTGGCTGCAAGCTGCAAGCAAAAAGGGTGAATCTACCCAAACCACCACACTCAAACCTTGCCAGAGCAGAGCACACACCACAGCCATTGCTGGTAAGACATTAAATGGAGTTTTTGTTCAAGCAACTGCTGCAAATACATCTATTGTAGTTAAATCTTCCAGCATGAGGGTTAAACCACAGAGCTCCTTTGACATCAGGCAAATAGGTTTATTTCCCATTGCTCACTCTGAAATTGCTTCTTCACTTGGACATTTTTTTCTCTCGGTACCCTCGTCTAGAGTTAAACCACCACAACGGTACAAGGTTGTAAACAGCTAGCATACGATGACCAAAAAGATGAGGGAAATCTTTGAAATATCATTTTAGAAGAAATGAGCAAGAGGTAGTGGTCCTGTCTGCCAGACCCTCTGTATACAAGCTAAAAATTCAAATTTTCTAGATAAAAAAAAATACTGATAGCCATAACATACTCTTATTGCAGGGCTATTCATACTACTTTAAAAAAAAAGTTTATCAGATATAAAGTACTCTGCTAAGGAAGCCTATTTATGAAAGACTCCGTGGCACTGTATGTGTTACAGAGAACAAAATACAGCTACAGGCAAGATCAGTGGGTTGTTGTATTACTGCATTTTTAAGCCACATTCACACAAACACTGTTTGGAATTAGCTTTTTAGAACCTTTTATGTTAAAAATGTATTAGTATTTTCTTTAGACTTTAAAAAACTACTTTAACTGCCATGACAAAGGGTTACTCAAACACATTTTTAAATACTGGAATTGCTAAGCATTTCTTTTCACACAGATGGGTTTTTATGGCCTAAGCAAGGGGTGACTAGATCATTTAATCATCTAAATCCAAGGTCTGTGGGTACACTTGGATACAGAATTGACTTTGCTAGAAGACACCAAAAAATTACACTCAAAGGTGAAAGGATGCTTGAAAACACTGAATTACAGTTTCAGTTTTTTTGTTTTTTTTTTTTTAGATTTTTGTATTAGTATAGTTTATTGCCATTTTTGAATGGTTTTCTTCTGTTTAGAAGTGCTTAGTTCTCTCCAGAAATTAGAAGAAGCTGTAAGTCTGTTCAACAGGATCAAGTATAAGGTCTAATCCTGTCAATTGTTTGGTTCAATAACATGCCCTTATTTTCTCCAAATACAAAAACCTTGTTGATTGATGACTCTACCCAGCGTTGGACAGATGTTCAAGAAATGGAGTCGGACTCTGAATTCAGGCCTTTCATATACTGCTCTGTTGCCCTCTCTCAAGGACTTAAGCTCAAATACCTATGAAAATGGCATTTCCCATGAAACCCAATCCTGCTTTTAACCAAAAGCTGGGTATAACACAGAGAGCTCACACAATGAGGTAATACCAATATAAACATTAACACCACAAAACCTTTCTACACTCCTGCTTAGTTTAGAAGTTTGCAAATGCAGATTCACAGACCAGCAAATTTGAGTGATCTAAACCAAGCAGTGCAAAAAAAAAAAAAAAAAAGAGACTTTATCACTAATATGTATATGATTGACTATTAAGTAATATAATTATTGAATAGAAACTAATACTGAAATGTTTTTTAAAGGACTGAAAACCAGGTGAAGTTACCCTTGTGATCAGGTTGAACTACTTCTGCTTAACTCAAATTTTGGAAAAAGAGATACATCAACTCCATGTACTAATAAATTACATATAGATGGATCATAGATGTCAAGCACAAGTATCACATGATAAACAAATCCCATTTTAATACCTTTTTGAGGATGCTTGCTGAGTTAATGTGATGTTATCAACAGAAAACATCATGCTGCAAACGACTCACTCCGTAAGCATTATAGAACTCTTGTTGGTTATTTCCTTAATATAAAAGCAAACAGTTAGTTGGGTTTCTTAGTTAATTAAATTAAAAACACAGTTTTGTTAGTAATCATAGTTTGGGACCTACTAATTAGTATTTTTTAACCCTTTCACTACTAAACACTTTGAAAAAAGCTTTATATCAATTTCTTGAGAAAATGAGTCAATGCTTATAATTTACAGCACAGATAAAAGCATGATTTTAAAAAGTTATATTATACAAAAAATACAAATGCTCAATTTTTCAAGAACATTGAAATTAGGAGAATAAAACCTATTTGTATTGTAGTAGTCAAATATCATATTTGTAGTGAGAAGCTTTGGTCCATACAATAATCGATCACCTAGCAATTACAAGACAGTATTCCTGTAGAGTTCCTGTGCAGATAAGTTTCTCTTATTCCTGGCTTCTTCTAATTTAAAAAAAAAAAATTAAAAAGTTTGTAATTTCCTTATTTTCCTCACTAAATTTTCTGGGGGTTTTTGGTTTATTTGTTTTTAAATAAACAAATGTATGATTGCAGAAGGAGGATCCAGGGGAACAGCACTGGGACATGTATGTCTCGGTATGTACCTTGTACGCAATCTTAAAAAACAGACCTAAAAAAAATAAATAATAATAATAAAAAAAGACTGATGGCTGCACTGAGAGCACCAACAAGAAGGTTTTTGAAAACACAAGAGAGGTAAGGTAAATGGCAGCTTTTTTGTTCAGATTTCCCTGTGATCTGAGAAAAAAAAAAAAAAAAACACCGCATACATGGCCACAATCCACATTGAATAGAAATCTTTAAGCAGAGCTCACCTTGGTAGCAAACCCCTCATTGGCAGTGACAGTGCCCAGGAACAACTAACAAGCTATCTTGGCAAAAAGAAAGATTGAAGCATTACAGTTTAGTGAGATAAATAACCTTTCATCAAGAATTTTTATCAGCCTTTTACACGTCAGAAATTTTGCATTAATCAAAATGCAAAGAAGAAATAAATGACAGTATTCCCGAGGTGTAGGAGACACTGTTGTATTGGTAACCCCTCTGTCTCCCCAAAAGTAAGGGAGGTATTGGGCTCAGGAGGCTGCTGCCACTCCTATTGTTGCCAGTGGGGTGGTGGCAGTGGCATAATCAACTACACCAACTGTTGTTGGATTGAGCAATTTCAGAGCATAAAAGACATTTAAACCTCTTTTTTGGGGAAAGTACACCCCATACACCAGAAAATAGGGTACACAAACCAAAGAGAAGTACAACAGAGAAGTGTATTTATCAGGTACGTGCCAAGCATGGATGCACCTTAGGGATTAATGTAATTACAGCTGAACGTGTCATACATTTAGATTATTTTCTCCCAAAGCTGAAATACTGGTTGCGAGTGTTTTGCTGCTAAGCCTGAAAGAGAATTTTTAATTCTAGCTAATGGCACAAACACAGTCTTACAATTTCTTTCAGGCTTCTGAGTGTGCAACTTTGTCCAAGGGCTCTCTACACAAACGATGGCTTCAGTTTCATGGAGGTGAAAAGCCAGTCGAGAGCTTATGGATAAAGATCAGAGAACAGACCAACACAGGAGACTTCATGGCAGGTATCTGCTACAGGCTGCCTGATCAAGAAGAGAAAGTAGATGGAAGCCTTCTTTAGGCAACTGGATGAAGCCTCATGATCACCAGCCTTGGTACTCGTGGAGAACTTTAACCAGCCCAGTATCTGATGGAAAGGCAACAGGGCTGGGAGCAGGTCCAGGAGATTTCTGGAGAATGTAGCAGACAATTTCTTCACACCAGTGATGGACGAGCCAACTAGGGGAGGTGCTCTGCTGGACCTGTCACTGACAAACAAGGAAGAACTCATCAGGGAGCTGAAGGCTGATGGTAACCATGGCTGCAGTGTCCAGGAGCTGGTGGAGTTTAAGATACTCAAAAGTGTGCAAGACAAATAGTAGAGTTACAATCCTGGACCTGAGGACAGGGGACTGTGACTTGCTCAGGGTTCTACTTGGCAGGAATCCATGGGACATGGCCTGCAAGGGCAAAGGGACCCAAGGATAGATGGTTGATCTTCAAGGACACTTTCCTCAAAACACAAGGACAGTCCAATACAGTGTACAGAAAGTTGAGCAAGCGTGGTAGAAGGCTGGTACAGATGAAGGCTGGCATAGATGAACAGGAAAGTCCCAACAGAGCTCAAACAAACACACATGAGGTGAAAGCATGGATGAGCTGCTTGAGGGGGATACAGAAACATGCCCCAAGCATGCAGGGATGGAATTAGGAAAGCCAAAGCTCAGCTGAACCTAGATCTAGTGTAGAGCAACAAGAAGGGCTTCTACAAATACACCAGCAACAAAAGGAAGACCAGGGAAACTGTGAGGCCATGGTTCAGTGGGGGACAGGACCTAGGGACATGGAAAAGGCTGAGATATTCTATACCTTTTTTGCTTCAGTTTTAACTTGACAGGTTTGTCTTGAGGCCTCACAGGTCTCTAGGCGTAGTGGTAGGGACTGAGAGAGTGATATCTGACTTACAAGAAAGCTAGACTGAGTTAGGGACCACTTAAATCAATAGGGCAAACACAAGACTATGGAACCACATGGGCTGCATCCAAGGATGCTGAGGGTTGGTTGATGCAACTGCAAGATCCCTCATCTTGGAAAGGTCATGGCAGTCAGGGGAGAAAAAAAATAGGCCCATGTCATGGCCATTTTCAAGAAGGGCAAGGAGGAGCACCCAGGGAACTATTGGCCTGTCAGCCTAAGCTCAGTCTCCAGGAAGATTATGGAAGCCATGTCCAAGCACATGAAGGACAGGAAGGTGACTGGGAACAGCTACCATGGATGTACCATGGGCAGATTGTGCCTGATCAGTCTGACAACCTTCTGTGGTGAGATGACGGGCTCTGTGGACAAATGGGAGTACAGTGTTTAGCTGGACTGTAACATGGCCCTCCACAGCCTGCCACAGAATTCTCCCAGCAAACGGGTGAGAAATGGACTTCATACCTGGACCGCAGCTTGGGTGAAAAATGTACTGGAGTGCTGAGTTCACAGGGTGGTGAACTGCAGAGCAAAACCCAGCTGGCAGCTGGTTACCAGCAGTGTCCCTCGAGGGCCAATGCCAAGGTCTATAATGTTCAATATATTAATGACCTGGATGATAGGATGGAGTGTGCTCCTGCCAAGTTCATAGAGAGCAGCCAAGTAGTGAGGGAAACTGGATAGGCCAGAGGGTAGGGTGGCTAGTCAGAATGGGCCTTTAGAGGCTGGAGAAAAGAACTGACAGAAAACACATGAAGTTCAACGAAGGCAAACTCCTGCACCTGGGACAGGACAAACCTACACATCAGTACAGCCCGGGCATCAACTGGTTGGAAAGCAGCTTTGTAGAAACACACCTGAGGATCCTGGTGGACACAAAATGGAATATGAGTCAGCAGAGTGCCCCCCTGCAGTGAAGAAGGCCATCCATATATTGGGTCATATTAGCAAGACCACAGCCAGCAGGTCAATGAAAGAGATTAAGCCCCTCTATTTGCGAGACAGGACCTGGAGTGCTGTGTCCAGTTTTGGGTTTCCCCGTACAAGACAGACATGGACATACTGGAGCGAGTGCAGTGGAGAGCAACCAAGATGGTCAGAGGCTGGAGCACATGATGTACACGGAGAGGTTGCAAGAACTGGGTGCGTTCAGCCTTATGAACAGAAGGCTCTCAGGGGATCTTACTGCTGTCTTCGGCTACCTAATGGAAGGGTATAAAGAAGACAGAGCCAGACTCTTCTCAGAGGCATGCACTAGAGAACAAAGGACAACAGTCATGAATTGCAATAAGGGAAATATTTTTCACCAGGAGAGTGGTAAGGCCCTGGAACAGGTTGCTCAGAGAGGCTGTGAAATCTTCCACCTTGGAATTATTCAAAGCTTGACTAGACACAGCCCTGAGCAACCTGCTCTAGCTGACCCTGCTTTGAACATGGAGCTGGACTAGCCGATCCCCAGAGGTTCCTTCCAGCCTCAACTGCTCTGTGATTCTAAATGTCCTTTTGGGGAACAGAGAAGAAATAAAGAAAACAACACTGGAATTTTTATCAAATTACATCCCAGCTGCCATCCCTGATGTTCTAGTAGGGTGAAACACTAGCAGGGCTTTTGCTTCCCTCTATCTGGGCGTGCAGACAACACCAATGTTAAGAAGTGAAAACAGATAGGCCCTCCAGGTCTGAAGGAGTTCCTGGATAAGAACTGTGAGGAACACAATGGAAAACAGATAATTAAATGGGGAAGTACAAAAACTTTAAAACACTTTCTTTTCTTAGCAGGGAGTTTTCTTTTCTTAGCAGGGATTTTAACCATAATAAATAACTGGGAGTGATTTTTTTCCTCATATATTTGAATTCTAAAGAGTAATATTTCCCAAATAAAAATAAGTAATCGTATATGATTCTTTTAAACTTATGCCAAATGGGAAAACTGAGCATCTTCTTGGGTTTTTTGTTCAAAAGCTGCTTTCAGAGTTCAGGCTACTGATAAAGTTAAGATTCAGAAAAATTAAAAGTGGAAAATAACAGTAGCCTGGAAAGAATCGTTTAGAAGGTTTCTATAAAGGAATAAATTCCAAGAGTAGAAGCAAAAAGGTCAGACATTGTTTCTTCCCTCATTTCATCTGTTCCTGCTACTCCTGTCAAACAAAGAACAGGGGAGAAGAACCTGAGGTTATTTGGAGCTTTTCCAGGTGGCATCAAAATACTTATTGTACACCACATTTCTTCCCACCCTGTCAGTACCAACTATCTCAGGAGGAAATACAGAGCACCAAGTTGCTGAGGGAAAAAAGTTTTGTTTGGTTTTTTAATTTCAACAAGCATCAGTCACAGACCAAAGGAGATACCGCTGTGACAGGCACTGTATGTTCACAGTTTTGCCCTATTTCTATGAAAATTCCATATTATGTCTACACATTAACATTATGCCAAAAATGATTACAACACATGCTGGGTTTTTTGCCAGTATCTACATGAGGTAGCTTCAGTTAGCATACAAAGCCTTATGCATCTTATGAATTCCCTACAGTTAGGTCCCTCCAGTTAGTTGATGTACAGAAGCATCCGAAAAGCTACAGTCTGCTCCTGCTTAAGGCAACAGGAGTGTTGCCATCATCTCTAATGATCAGCCAAGCTGTGTTCAAAACTGGCACGAACTATTTTGAGCACTCACGAAGAGAGGAGGCAGAGGAAGTCCCGCGAAGAAACATCTGCAAGCCGTCCTCGCTGTCACTGGTACTGGCCATACTGTTTCTCATCTGCATCACAGAGAGCTGTGAGCAAAGACTAGGTTGTCGATCAATCTTTTTTGAAGCCTAAAAAAATTAAATAATAATAATTTTTTTAAAAAGGTAAATTAAAATAAAAATGGAAAATAACTATTTCCTCTGTAGTAGATGCTCTGGTCTCAGCTATGACTATGAATCAAGAAACTGGTTAGAGCAGAAGATTCTATGCAATGTGAATCGATTTAAACAAAAAATTGAAGACGCCAGCAATACATTGGAATTAGAACACTGACAAGCAGGAAACCTCAGATTAATTATTCAGTTTTAATTCTGTATTGCACTGGACTTTTCATGTCTTTTCCTACAGAAAGGCTGATTCTTCTTATTTGGTAATTCTTTATTTAGGTATGTTGCTCTGCAAATAAATACAGCCTTTATGATGATCCTGGTCCTCCTTGTGAAACAAAAGAGCATGCTATATATACAGTTTAGCAATTTATACTTTAACAGACATTTGTTCACTTTCCTGGCTTTTCACTTCATTGTGTTAGAAAACAGTGAATGTCATTCCTTCCTAGTAGATGATCATTTGGCTCTTGGTTTTACTGAAGACAGATTAAATGTATCACATGAACATTATCCTCTGCCTGTCAAATGGTCTTAGGAGCTTCCACTTGCTTTGAGTAGTCTTCCTGAGAAGTCTTTGTACTATAATATTTATATGAAGCCATACATTGTACCTCGTTAAATATTACTGCAAGTCAGAATACTATTTTAGGTGTATGTGAAAGGTAGTAAATGATAAAAGCATAATGGATAATTCCACTTGACTGAATTTTAAAAGTCAAGAATAAGCATCTTACTTCATGCGGAGAGGAATGACTGTTTTCCCAACAACAGTGAAAATCTCCTTAGGTAGGAGAAAATCCCAAGGTTCCTTACAAATAAATGGATACTTTTCTGCTTTCCAACATATAATGAATTGATATTCTTATCTTCTTACTACCATTTTATTTATGAATAATCTATACTTAATTTGTTTTCGTTCTCTTTTATGTCCTCCTGTGTACAGAAGTAAACTACAAAATTTTCTATGGAGATTGTCACCAGCTAAAAAGCACTAAAGACACCAGTAATATGTGCATTTCACAATGAAGCCTGTGAGAAGTGACGTGCATAGGGTGCTGGCAATGGGGAAACCAAGGAGAATTTACTTGCCAGTTCTTATCCTATGTTATGTAGGAAGGGCTTGTGCAACAGGATTTTCATTTGAGGAAGAATGAAAAGGTACTGCTCCCAAATGCTCGCTCTTAATTTTGACAACATACATTTTCAAAAGTTATTGTGATAAAACAGTTGCAACAATCTTAAATTCATGTGACTATTGTCACCAAAAATAAAGAGTTGGTATAAACTGAAGTTAAAGTGTGCAGATGTTAAGTGCAAGGAGGGGTATGTTGGGTGGTTTTTTAATACCTAGAAGGTATGATGAGGACCTTTCACTTAAAAACAACCAGTTACAACATTACAATGAGTACTTCTCTTATACTTCAATTTCAAGAAATAGTTGCACTAGCGCTGAAGCTCTACAGTGCCAGAAATCAGCAGCACAAGTGTATTGAAGATGACTTTGTATACCAGTTATGGCATCCTAATGCTGTCATCTAAGTGTAAAAAAAGAAAATGAGGGAAGGAAAGAGAAAAGAGGAAAATAAAATAGAGAACAGAAAAGATAAAAAAGAGAAAAGAAAAAACAGATAAAAAAGAGAAAAAGGAAAAAAGAGGGGAAAAATGAAAAAAAAGAGAAGGCAAGGGGAGGAGTGTGGAGAACAGCATTCTCCCATGAGAGGCAGTGTGAATGCAATCCTGAGCACACATCACTTTATGCTCCTTTCAGACACCACACTCCAGAACTGACTTACTGTCTACGTAGATGTGAGTTTTATTACAGAACATCCCCCTGTAATTCTTTTTTATAAAAAACCCACAAACCTTTAAGCACACACTTTATAAGATATATTTTATAGATCGTACAGTCCTTCTAGATCACTTTTATCTCACTGCATTAGTAGGATGAAAACAGTGATCCAAAATAGTTTTGAGGGTCTGATTGCAAGACAGTGTAACCCTCTATTTCATTGACTAGAAGGCAGAATAAGCAGTGCTTTATTGCTATTTTTTTTCCTCCAGCAATTCTTTCTTTTCTCTTTCTATAGCCAGTACAAAACTGAGAAAACTAATAATGTCTAATTAGCCATAAAGACACAACAAGTTAAGCCTGCTGAAGTTTGTTGTATAATAGCAGTGGCAGTCATTGCTTCTGGATCATTTTCTAGAACTTTCAGAACTTTGCAGAAGTAACTATTTAACCTGTACATGAGATATTTATGGGCAAGCTGATGAGAAGGATTTTTGCTCCGAGTTAGTGTGAGCTAAATCAATACAGATAGGATATGAAAATAATGTATTATAAACTTATGAAGCTTTTCATAGATGATGTTGAAAATTCTTCAAATAAATTATATAGAAGAACCCTACAGCCACTACATGAATAATAAAAAAACCACACCAGCAGCTATCCAAGTCTTGAAAGCCATGTAACTAAGTAAGGAGACAAAATGAAAGTAAAACAAGATAATCAATATATCCATGACTACACCCAGATCACTTACTGGGACACTTAAAACACACTCCCTCTACATATAAACAAGAATGAATTATATTCAGGCCACTTAATATTTTATATATATTTATATTTTATATGTATTTCATGCCTCCTTCCACAAACTACATCATATCAACCTAACATTCCCTTTTTTTCTGTTGTATTTCCAATCGTCAAACACATGTTGAAATTATTCTTCTTGGCAATCACTATTACCCAGTTGTTTGACTCCAGCAAGTAAATTCTTTAAGAAAAAACCCTGAAGCTTCTTTACACAAAGGCACCCATTTGTTAATGAGAAAGGACATCCGGGAAGAAGCACCTTTTTAGCTACCATCTAGCCATCATGTCTACCTGTTGGCTAGAAACACACTAGCCGATCAGTTCTGAATCTCAGTTATTCATCTTTCCTGCACATTACTGTGCTAACTTTAACCAATATTGCTTCTGACAGAAATGTTGCACTCATTCATACTTTGGCGCTAAAAAGCAATGAGTGTGAATTCAGCAGCTGATAGCAGCAGGTTAAAAAAAACCCCTGTGCTTTAAGAGGATTTTAAATTGAAGGAACTGCATTTGTGTAGGAAATAGGGAAGGAAAGCTCCCAAAGGAAACCTCAGTTGCTTACCTTGTCATTTAAGGTTGGGTCATTCAATGAATAGAGTTTATTTGTAATATCTTTGCCAATAAGATACTTAAATATCTCATACAGAAATGGTTCAGATTCCAGAAAATAAGTCAGCCTTTCCCTGGACCAGCACAGGAACTTGCAGTTATCGTCTGCGATAATGGTGACCTGAGAAAATACATGCTCAGAATTAGCACATTTAAAAGTGTTTTAAAATTAGCACATTTAAACATTCTTTAAAACAAATTATACCATAAAATAGATACAAAATAACTCTTAAAGCCATAAAACCATTTGGTATCCCTTAGAACATGATGTTACAAATGTAAAACATGTCAGATATTAGCATCATATTTTTAATTGATAATCATGGCCAGTTTGCTTTCCAGAAAACTTGGGGGGAGGTAATAGGGGAAAATCTGTCATAAGTTCCCAGACTGTGAAAGCATTTATGTTAGAGGTGATTTACAAAGTCAGTCCTACAGAAACGACACTACTCACATCCCCATAGGACTACACATTACTTGGTTTTATTTTATGTCGCTGTCACCAAACAGGAACAAATGGTATCCAAAGTTCTCCATCAAAGAGGTTTTAGTGATTTTTTTTTTTTTTTTTAATTTTCACCTTTCTGTCTACACTGTCAGCCCTGTTGATCCCACAAGTAACACCTTCTAGCAGCTGAGCTAAGGCTCTATGTGCTCAGTTACTGGTAATTCAGCTACCGCTAGTTACAAGAGAAGCTTGGACCCTTCTCCAGGGAGCCTGGACCTGCCAGGTTTGTCCCCCTGTGCCGGCAGAGGGCAATGGCACACCAAAACCTGCACCAAAACACGGTGTGTTTTGCAAGGGAAAGTCAGTCATCTACAGAAAAATCAGGTGCTCTCTGCTATTACGTTATCTCCTGAAAAAACAAAAACATATAAAACCAAAGAAATAATGGGAAACTGTCAAGTATTCATGGATTTTAACTTCACAGACTGCAATAAAAGTGCACAGGCTGAGGACGAATACACAGCGTTGCCAGCAGATGGGGTCCTTAAGACTGAATCCCTGTCCTCTTGCAATGGCAACGCTGAGAGTGTTTATACGGCTGTAACAAGCAGAACTCAAGAGTGAAGGATGGACACCGTGCCAGATTACAATTATTTTCAAGCCAGGCAGAAGTGGAGGCGTGAGCCTTTTCTCTTCAGAGGGACCGACTCGTATCCAGTCGCTTATGAGAGAAAGAGGCTGTGCCAAGAGGGTGGCTGTGCTGCAGGACACCTCACTGCTGCACAAGGAATACCCCTGGGCAACTCTCTCTCCTTGGCATTAAGCCTAGGGTTTGACTGGAACATATGACATCAATCACTGATTTTAGAGGCGACATTGCTCTCCCTCCCTCCCCTTCTGCCAGGGTATCCGTGTGGATGTACCCAGTCGGCCATTGTCCCATTGTTACTACACATACACAGTTAAAGAACATCAAGTAAGAGGCAGCAGAAGAGCAAATTCAGTACTGTGTGAAAAAAAACCCCAAACCACTTCCCTAACAGTACTTTTCCCCCACAAACTATAGTATAAGATATCCTTTAATGTACTAGCATAATTACATTGCTAGAGAAATTATATATTACTCTTATAAGCTTATTGTCCTCCATAGGAGTATTTGTATTCAAAACAATGTGATCTGTTTCAGCTTATGTTGCTTTAACAACTTTCAAGATGATGGAAGCATTAATACATTTAGATAAACACCAATTTCAAACTACTAGTGCCTGAATTTTCAGTCTTTCATTTTAGTAACATCAAATATTACAATAACTAATTTTCCTTTTCTGGTTTCGAACCAGTGATGAGAGACTGCTCACGTCACCTCTTTTCCAGTAAAGTTCTCTCTTAAATTATTTGTCCTGAAGAATTTCTTAACACAAAACAAACTTGCAAACAGTAAAAGAGAACAGAAGAGCAAAAGCCAGACTGCTCAGCAAACATCATTGTAATACTGTTTTGCAGCATTTCATTTTAAAAGTTACTCTTGATATGGTCCATCACAAAACAGCAGTACTAGAAAGTTAGAAAAATTATGCAGGTAAAAATCAACACTGTTTTCTTATTATCTCATTCATTCATACACATTTAAATCAAAGTGTACCTGGAATTTCTCACCCCGGTTCATCTGCGTTGATCGAAATTCAGGAGAATCTATAAAGGCACAGGGGTAAATATTATGCAGAAAATGCCCTCGATAAGACACCTTCATTCTGGAAATAAAAGTTAATGAAACAGCATTTTAAAGTCATGGAGGATGATTGATTTAATCTAAATTTTGATATGATTACTGACAATGGTAAAGCAGCAGGTAACAGGCAAAAATATGTTCAGCCTCTGGAATTTCAGCCCCAGAGCTACCCTGGGGTAGCTCTGCTTAAACTTCTACTGATTCCAAGCAGAACAGGCTGCCAGCCAACTCAAGTTGCCAGACCTGGTACGTATCCTCTAAACGTTGCTATTCAAAATGAAAAAGGTCTGAAGGGTTATTCCATACAGCCAGACCAGAATCAGGCTTCCTTTAGATAACTAGCTTTGCATTAATGAGCAGCTAATGATTTCAAAGAAAAACAATGAAACCTGATGTCATTGTTGCCATGAACAGAAACTGCTTAAAATACCGTCCAGAACTTAGCAAGAGCTTCAAGATCACAGCCTGGCCATAGGCATTTATTTTACCCTTTCCCACCTGGGTCCTGTCAGCCTCTGGGCAGTGCACCTGCCCCTCTCTGCTGGCACCTACAAGTGCAATGAATCAATTCCAACAGGCCCATTGTTTTAAAGCCTGCTGGAGGGATAGTTTTTCCTTCCCTCATGTACAATTTTTTTTAACCTTAAAGCCTGAAAATGCACTGCGAAGATGCCTTAGATATCTAATACTCAAACAAATCTCTTTCTTGTTCTGGAAGACACTGCCTTTGGTATTATACAAATATAATTTCCACTAAAATCCATGGAGCTGCACACACAAATATCCTCACAGTAAGAGACATCACTGTCATTTGAAAAGAGTGTCACAGAATAGTCTGTGGCTATAGACTATTTGGCTACAGACCAGAACATGCTACAAACATCATCATTTAAGAAGCTAAGAAAAACCCCAACAACTTTCTAATCTATTCAACCATCACACAAAACATAAGACTGTCCCCAGGCTTTACAGAACCTACTTCCCCTTCAGGAGGATGCTTAGCCTGTCATCAACCGATGTTTTGTCTTCTGCAGCATAGGCTTGACCTGTCTTTAAAGTCTGAATGTTGCAGAATTGTCCAGTTAGTCTTTGGAAGAGCTCTGGAGGCACATGGAGAGGTTCAAACATCCTCTTGTAGAGGCTGCTAAGCTCCTTCTCTATCTTGATCTAGAATGCAAAAACAAAAGACATCAATAAACACAGAGGCATTTGTTAAAAAAGGTAAGACTGTACAGCATATTTTAGTTGCTATATTTGAGGAATATCTTTGTTACGTTTAGGCAAGGAAAGAACTGGTAAATATGTGACATCTATCCACAAACACTGCCTGTGACAGGGTGACCAAAACCTTATCTAAAACTAGCCAGGCTGGCACAATGGTGCTTTAGGATGTTGTTCCATCCAAGTGGCACGTTAAATCAGACACAAGAAATCTTTTGAGGCGTCTGTTGATGTAACAGCAAATAGGACTTGGGCCAGAATTACACAGGAAAAAAAATGAGGTTGCCGGCATTTTTCATACCACATGCACACCTTGTTCTGGCCATCTCTCAGGCTCTCCTGGGAGCCCCTTTCATCCCTGAGCTTCTTGGCTTAATTGCAGTAAAAAATGGTACGATGAGTCCTCAAAAACAAACCCATCATACTGAAACCACGTGTGATGAGGGAGGTAAAAAAAAAATACTGCCAGCTGAACTTCCCACATCTAGGAGCCCACCCAAACTCAGGCAGCAGCAATGAGGGAAAGGATGTTGGCTGCAATCCCAAGCCTGGAAGTCTTTCTTGAATGAAGGCAGCAGGGAATGAGACAGTGTCCCAGCCTCCCCGAGAGCAGAGGCAGCCTGAACAATGCCTGACTATTTGCTGGGAGGAAAACAAATTAGAACAATAAGCCTCGGATAATGGAAAGATAAAATAGACATAGAATAGAGAATAAGGAAAAGCAAACAAGGGAAAAAAGGCAGAAAAAGAAGAAAATATTTCAACAAATGAAATACTCCAAGTTTACAAAAAGCAATCTAGAAAATGGTGTATTTTAATATTAAGAACAGGGGAGAAGGCGGCAGCACAGGAGTCCAGGAGTTGCTTTTCTGCTGACACAGCAGCCAAAAACGGGAATCAAGAAGCTTCTGGTCACCTTGTGGCTGGAGGAAGTGGGGAATCCAGAATGACCATGGCAGGCCCCAGGCTGTCTGAGGCCCATGAGGGCTTCAAACTGTCACTATTCCTCCCTTGGAGAGCACTCCCTTGGGTGAAATTATTAGTCTGTAGCCTCCAAGAGATATATGTGTTCCATATCAAAAATCCTCCCTGAGCTGTTTTCAGTAAAATCACCTGTGTGTGTGAAACAGTAAACCAAACATAATGAAAAGTTTTTGGAAATCTGAGACAGTTTCCTTGTTACATTTCAAGTGTATTTAAATACAGAACAAATAGAGTTGAGGCAGAAACTTCCTAGATGTGTGGAACCATAGTTGGAGTGTTTCGCACACAGCGTCAGTCACTGATGTGATCCATCCCACATTTGGGCCACTGAACACCATGAGAACACTCTGGAAGCGACAATCCAGTGGGCAGAGATGGTGGGTTAATCCCACAGAACCAGCATACAGTTCATTATTAAACTGCAAAGCAGGAAGACAAAAGGCTGCTTATGTGACTTTGTTGTTATAATCTCATGATTTCTCAGCCTTTAGACTTCCACAAAAGATCAACAAAAGGATATGCCAAACCTGCAGACTTCACTTTTTACTTTACTCTTTTTTTTTTGGTGCACTTTGTGGACAGTATATATGTACATTTAGTACCCACAACTGTATTAAAGCATTCTGTTTGATTTTTTTAGTCTGTCCATACATAAGCTTCAATCAAATGTGAATTACTGCCTCCTCAAAACATTTAAATGCATCTTTCTGTTTCATTACACTGTCACCATTTTGTTGACTAAAATAAATTAATAAAAACTCTATATTTTCTTCTATACATTCTGTCAATCAGTCTCTGCCCAAGAAATGCTATCAGAACCAAGAACATTAGGGCTAGAATATAAATGTTCAGACAAGATTAACAATAAAGTCACAGAATTACAAAATGGTGGAAGTTGGAAGGTAACTCTGAAGGTTCATCAGCTCCCTGATCAAGCAGGGTCACCTAGAGCAAGGTTGCTCAGAATCATGTTGAGATGGCTTTTGAGTATCCCCAAGGATGGAGATTCCACAACCTCTCTGGGCAACCTGTGCCAGTGCTCTATTACCCTTACAGTAAAAAAAGTGTTTCCTGATGTTCAGATGGACTCTCCTGTGTTTCAAGCTGGTGCCCACCAGCATCTCCAGATGAGCTGGTCAGCCCCCAGCATGTGCTGGTGTATGGGGTTGTTCCTCCCCAGGTACAGGACTTTGCACTTCTTGAACTTCATGAGGTTCCTGTCAACTAATTTCTCCAGTCTGTCAAGGTCCCTCTGGTTGGCTGCCCAACCTTCTGGCCTCCTCCTTGTTTTGTGTCATAAGGGTACACTCTGTCCCATCATCCAGATCATTAATGAAGGTATTAAACAGGACTGGGCCCAGTATTGACCCCTAGGTTACACCACTAATATACACACTAGTGTAGTGTGTACAGTACAGATCTCCAACTAGACTTCATACTCCTGATCACCACTCTCAGCCCAGTCATTCAGACAGTTTTCAATCCATCTCACTGTCTCCTCATCCAGTCCATACTTCAACAGCTTTTCTATGAGGATTTCATGGGAGACAGTGGCAAAAGCCTCACTGAAGTTAAGACAGACAATACTTACTGCTCTCTCCTCCTCTACCCAGCCACTTATTTCATGGCAGAACATAACCAGGTTGGTTAAACATTATTTTCCCTTGGTGAACCCATGCTGATTGCTCCAGATCACCTTCTTGACCTTCATGTGCTTGGAAATGGTTTCCAGGATTAGTTGTTTCATCACCTTCTCAGGGACTGAGGTGAGTCTGTCCAGCCTGCAGTTCCCTGGATTCTCTTTCTCACCCTTTTTGAAGAAACCGGGGGCATCTACTTTCCTACAGTCCTCAGGCACTTTTCCTAGTAAATGATTGTTCAAAGATCATCAAGAGTGGCCTCATAGTGACATCAGCCAGCTCCCTTGGCACTTGTGGGGGCATGCCACCTGGCTGATGGACTCACATATGCCCAGCGTGTCATCTGAACTCAAGTGACACTGGTTTCACACTGAATCAATTAATAATTAAATCCTCCACCAGTGACTACATTTATATGAAACCAAGGGTTTTAATTTCCTGTATGTTCATTATGCCATGTTTTAACACCTCAGAAGACAACTACACAGACAAAACAAAGATTAAAATTAAACTGGCAAGAAAAATTGTCTTGTGTCAGAGATTGCTCTAAACTGTTTGATTTCAAAATATATTCCATATACCTGTGAAGTCAGATGACAATTGGTTTTGCCCACAGGTTCTCCAGAAACTCCTTCATTTTTAACAGACATACCAATTTAATTTGCACCTCTTTCTATACACGACAACTGCAACTCAGAGATAAATTCCCTTCTTCAATGAAGGTACAAGTAGCTCCCAAGACTCATGAATTCAAAACAATGTAAACAGACCTGAGGACAGGATTTGACCCTGGAATGCTAATACAATCCCTTAACTAGCACATAATTCAGGCTTCATGATCTTCCTCTAATGTACAATATTTAAAAGAGAAAGCAGGCGTAACCATCTTCTTAAAAGATGGATCAGGTTGGACACCGTAGATATATTTTAGATGGTCTCCCTCGTAGCAGACCCTTCACAAGTGCAGCTGACTGCTTCTCCAGTCATGCTCATGGGTTATATTCCAAATGAGCCATACCCGTAGGTGTAATGTTTTGTTCAGCAGTGGTTGAAATATTCTGGGTTGCTGCCAGAGCTCCGAGTCAGAGCTCTGTAGAGACACTGATCAGATTCTTTCAGTTTCCACTCAGACTAAAAAAGGCAAATCTGTAAAGCTCCAAGGAGTCAAAAGCACAGAAATAATCTTCTGGTCAGAAGAGAAACTCTGCTATTTTGCATGCTCCATTTAATAAAATAAATATTTAACAACTGAACATATCAATTATTAATTTTGTAATATTACTAACTTGTAATTATTCTTCCATTCCTTCCTCCCCTTAAAAACATCATTTGTGAGTATGAACAAATAAAATTGATTTTGAGATGGGCAATACAATAGCTGCAGACAGAAAATCTCATTCAAAATTAGTTCCTAAGACTTTTTTTTTTTTTTTTAGTTCTCTAGTTTTCTGTAGGAAAGGCCTTCAAGTTCATAATAAACAGAATGTGTAAGACAACTAAAAAGACACATGTGACTACCAGGCATCGCTTCAAGTAAGCTTGCTGATCATAGTCTGCAACAGAGATTCATATATTGTTTGGGATACTACCCCGATTCCATATAATTTCAACTACTGCTTAAATTGACATAATTTACTAGGTATTTAGAGCCCAGTATTCAGAGAAGCTGCGTTCCCACAGTTCTCAGACCACAGCTGCAATGGTAGAAGTGCAAATCTGAAAGCCAGACTCCAGTTCCCCACTGTGTTACCGTTTAGATCAGCATGAAGCAATCCATTATTTTTTTTTTTCCCCTCATACTGCTACAGAGTAGCAATGAAATGCATCTCACCTATGACTACACAAAGCTAGGTTAGTAGCTTATAATGGTTGTGTAGGCTTGTTCTCTAGCCAGTGGAGAGGGATGTCACCATTGCATCTTAAACAGATATTGGGTGGGTGGGTTGAATTACACTGGACAACCAGCTTAAACTAGATATTTAACTTGGAGATGGATGGAGTGAGACAAGATGATTCCAATTCCTATTTCAGAAAGTAAAGCTACTACTGCAGAAGTAGAGACCACAACTAATTATCCATACTCTTCGAAAATGTTCTCAATTGTTAGACTACAATATTACATGCTTCCTCTCACAGGCCTTTCACTTCTGGAAGTGCTCGTGTCCTGAACGATACAATATTTCAGTGTAAGCATCAGAATGTGACTGAGACTACCTAAGCAAGCAGTCAATGACTATGTAGAGCACTTCCCAATTAAAAGTATTAGATATTCCTCCTACATTTCACTGTTTCTATTTCCCACACATCTGTCTTCAAAAAGCA